TTTCAATGCTATTCACCGTGGGCCCAATTTCACTAATAAAACTAAAAATAGTTTTTTTTAAATACCAATAAAAGAACTGGGTGAGGTCTGAAGATAATATGTCTCCTTAATTAAAAAATTAATCTATAATAATAGGTTTCATTTTTAATTAAAATTTTTTAATTAAAAATGATTAATTTACTGTATGTTATTTTTTAGCCTTTTTGCGTTGCTATAAACGCATATGACATATTACTCAGCGCATCGCTCGCGCAGCTACGTGCAACGCATTATTTTTTACGTTTTAAAGTTCGTTCAATGAAAAATGTTGATTGAGCTTCAGAACATGCAGTTGAAACAGAGCAAGTTGTCAAAAGGAGGAAAAGGAGGACAGGAGGAGAAATTAATAATGAGCTTCTTGGGAACATTAGAGGACATTACACTCATTTTAGATATTCATAGACTACTTAGCAATGCCGTAGGAGGACCACACAAACTTGTTTCTTCGAACAAGAAGTTGCACCACCTCATAAAAAAAAACGCAGTAGACATAAACACAGATAAATATATGAAACATTTACGAGGTAACTATACTTTGCACCTCACCACCTGCATTTCAGAAGTTTTTCCGTGAGCATGCATAATTGCAATTTGCACGTGCTCCCTGCAGAGAGAAGCGAAGGAAATTCATAAAAAAATGTCAGTCTCCGTTTAGTCTTGGACATAAACAGCTTTACAGAATTAGCTCATCAGGTGTCTAAATTTTTTATATCTTTATGTATAAGTTTCTAAAACAAGAAAAATTGAAAAATATGTTAACTGTGTCTAAATGATAGACGAAGGTAATGTTTTCTCTTTTTTTATAGGAAGATTTTGGTTTTTCGATTCTTATTAATATATTCGTATATATGTGTCTGCACTGCGTAGTCGGAGAGATTCTTATAGACAAAGTAAGTGCCTATCGTTAGTACAATTAGATATTACATAGCCAGTGCTTCTTTTGTCAAGTTAAGAGAATTCCTAGAAATCACAATCTATTTTGACATTTTATTTTAAAGTTGCTTCAGAATTTATCATTTATGTTAGTAATGGAATCGATACATATTTCATGATGCAGCAATATTTATTTACAAGCCAAATTATAATATTCACATCTTATGTATATCTATAATTTCGAGTGTGATCATTATTTTGAAAGGAAAACATTCACGTATGTAGTCGTTAATAATAAAAAATAATTAAAAATTATAAATTATAACTATTAATGAATATAATGTTATGATCATAAATTACGAAAAACAAATATAATTGTAACAAAAATATTTTTAATACTATGACCAATCCAAGATTTATGTATTACAAAATATATGAAAATGTATTTACTATCTATAAATTATAAACTAATTATGTTCAAAAAAATATATATGATATAGTGCCATAATATTTAATATATTAAATACATAATACATTTAAAATTAATACAATTAATTGTAACGTTGTTTGCATTATTCAAAGATAACAAGACTAATTTAAAGATAATCTAGTCCATTTATCATTTTCGCTGTCTACAATGCAAAAATCTCCCGTAAATCTTTTACATTCCGAGAGAAGTAATTAAATTCAGAATGAAAGTGCTAATTAAAAATAGACGTAATACGGTTACGCGATACTGGAGATCAAATTCGTAATACTCGCATAATGCTTGTTGTCCTTGTTTGGTGTGCGTTAAATAACAAGAATCAAAAAATTCTAGGAATGCTCTGACAATCGGATCGCAGCCACCGTGCGCGTAATTTTTTGCTTACTCAGCGCGCGATGTATCCTGTGTGCCTGCGTGATATGATCTTTGATACCAATATCAGTGCATTTCCTGACTCTCCGCAGTCTCCAGCACTTTCAGATAGCAATGGAGAGCGAAAACATAACGAGATTCGCGAGCGATTTCGAATATTCTATATGACGTGGTTGACGTTATCCAATGCTGTTCTCACATTTCAACTATGTTCGAATTTTTGAGCTACAAACCGTACTATAAATTGTGAATATTAAAATGTTCCCGATGTTGGCTATCCAGGAAAAAAAAACAGAAGAAACCTACTGTACTTCTGTACACTGTACTACTTGAAGAGATATAAATAGCTGCAAGAGAAGATTCTTAGCTTATATATATCTTACTCCTTATATATATCTTACTGTACTACTTGAAAAGAAAAAATGGGAAGCGCGGGGACGTTTGAAAGTCAAGAGTGAATTGGTACCAGCATAAAGATTTTTGCCAGTATTGCTCTTGAAAAATGGCAAAAACATTTAGACTCCTTAATGGACAGCCTTAAGATTGGATACGTAAGAACTAACAATAATGAACTCACATGTTTGAGGCCACATAATAATATTATAATTGTATCGTTTCAACAATTTGATAAACGAAGACGGAATTACATTCGAAATTGGAGATGAGTTTAACAATAAAGATGAGAATTAGCGTAAATTCTCCAAATGTACAACAATAAGATGTTAAATATGTTAAACTTGAAAATTGCAATTTATTTTAATTTATCCGAGTTGGTGCTTTAGAGTCCGGCGATGCATTCATATCTCTATTATTTTTTAATTCAAAAAAATTGAAATACGAAATGAGCTATTCACCATGTTAAATTCGGACGTATTCGTGTCCGTATTATATTATTTTTGGGTTCAAATGGATTCGAAAAATCAGAAGCGCCAATTCAGGAATATCGAAAATGAATTTATTTCAATCCATTTCATATCATTTTTGTTTGCTGTATGAGCTCGACGCCAACATTGAATATTACAATATTGTGTGCAAAAAGATATTGATCCTAGCTTGTATTTTTAGAAACCTACAGCCAAGATAGATCGCATCAGTTTTTCATCGAGTCCATCGTGCATCCTGATGACTTCGTCGCGGTGCAATGCTCCAATTGAATGGACTTCCAGCTTGGTAAATGCGGCGATAATAATTCCAGCACCGTCGTTATGGGCGGATTTATCAACACTGACGCTCAAGGTATTTTTTAACTACAAAGCAACGCACAGCCACCGTGTGGAAAGGGCAGACAAAATGAATAGTGATGGAAATAGACTTCTACATGCCTACACTTATATATATGACAACTATATATATGTATGTATTTCATTATAATTAGCGATATACATATATCTCAAGGAAACGTACAAACGTAAAACATACTTAACTTACGTGATATCTGTCTGTCACAAACACATTACGATATATACTAGACTGGTATAAAATAATAAAAAAATTGCGTGTCTGAAAAGTTTTGCGTGTATAATAGAAGTATGTTGCGCGCATCGATTTTATTTATGTCATTTCAGCGAGGATCGCCTCTCCACTGGATGATTTCTTGATCCTTAGTCCGTTGATTCCTCCGAATCGACGGACTATATTACAGTTTATGACGTATGGTATTTAGAATATTAATTAAAAAGTTTGACTGTGGGGCTTGATTGAACAATGAAAAGTTAATTTGTTCCCTTGCTGCTCGCGGTAAAGAAAGCATTCTAGTATTCTAAAACAAATCAGGATTAGAAACAGATAAAATTACAGTATATGAAATTACAGTAAAGATTTGCAAATTTAAATGAAGGTGCTTAAGATATTGCGCACTTTAAGTCTTACGTGAAAGTCTGATAAAAAAATTACGTTACATTATAGACATTTAAAAACCTTTTCGATATATTATCGATATGTTACTAAATAAGGTATAAAAATCTTCATTTTTATACGCCCCGAAGTGTATGTATATACAAATAATTCAGTGCGATCGAACGCATTTAATGTGGCGAATCTGCGAAAGTCAGAAAGAACTTCAATCTCTCTTTCTTCTTCAGAGAGTTATGTAATATATGGTTGACGGCTATCTCGATCATTTCCCACTTTGTTCAAGCTCCAAGTCCAAGTCCCGATTTCACGGCATTTTCGGCAAAGCTGGACGTGTCTTCCTAAACCGCCAACGGATTCTCAATCGTTTCCTTGCTCTCTTGGACCAACTTCTGTTCGTAAAGGTGTCTGTATTTACGTCTGACGACGTCCCAGTCGACAACGTTCTCGATTCTGATGGCGTTATGAAAGGACAGCTGGCTTCCAAGTGGACTCAGGTGAGCTACCGATAAGGCGACGCTATCCTTGTGGACTACCTGCGTGTTCTTCTTTATCATGGACAACCACTTGGCACCCATTCTGGTGCGAGGGGAGAGACGAGCACCGTTCATCTCGTGCGTCAAAGATAGCGGTTGTTGCTTTTTGGTTGTGCGTTTCTTGCAGAGTTTGACAAAATACATGATCCACATGGTCAAGAGATTCAGCGGGGGTGGTGCCATGGTGGTCCTGTCCCGCGTATTGAAAATAGTGCGATGAATGATGCAATAAATGGTTTCGTGCAACAATCAGCCGTACTTCTTCTCCTTAATATATTTTTTTTCTTCGATACATCTTATTACCTGTTCATTCTTCGAATGAGCTTGCTCAGTCCGTACTTCCACTCGGTGTCCGATTGCGCCTGTATTCGCTGGTAAGTATTGCTCATTGTGGCGATTAGGAGATTAATAAGCATCACCACCGACACCAACATATAAATGCCGTAGGTGAGCTTGAAGAGGACGATCCTCCAATCGGACTGGTTGTTACTCCTGAATTGTTCATATGTCGTCTTGCCGAAGATGGCGAAGAACAATAACTCGATCGCATGTAAGAGATACATGCTATCTGTAACTATCCGTTGAACAATGTGTCTTGTAAGATGCCTCGTGTATACGCGGACGTAATGCAAAAATTCTTTGCTACTGCCTAGACGCATACTATACTCATAAACGTTACAAAAATGTATCACAAAATGAATCGATTTCAAGCCATATTGATAGATGTATATATATGCTGCGATTCGTATGAATTCCTCGCTTTTGCCTATCGTCGGAAAAAGTCCAAGCGAATAAGAAAAAACGCGTTCTTATCTCACGCGATGGTTTCCAATTTTAAACAAAAAATATAGGAACTGGAAGACTTGCGATTTCTGTATGTTACGTGCAATTATCCCGAATGTTACAAATATTCAAAAAAATTTTTAATAGAGTAAGAGATCTTTGCGGATACTTACATGTGTTTTTAGATATTTGCGATGTCAGGGATATTTTTGTTATTACGAATCGTCCGTGTAAATGTTAATTAAAGTTAACAGCTGAGATTTTGCTTTAAAACGTGTGTGTGTGTGTGTGTGTGTGTGTGTGTGTGTGTGTGTGTGTGTGTGTGGGTGTGTGAGAGAGAGAGAGAGA